TACGATATCGATTAGTCTTCATTCTTGGACACACATGTATTCCCCCAGTACCTGGATGTTAACGATCTCCACATAAGTAAAAACATAGGTAAATAGAGCATCCTTCCCTCTAGCTAGTACATGATATCTTGAATGGCTTGGGTCGATGGTACTTGTATTGTTATGCTGGAAGTCATGGGTTTAAACCATATTAGATGACCTTTGTTAATATTTCCCTTCCTTTCACCCCCTTCAACATCTTGGATCATCATTCTTCTTTGCCACCACCCCACCCCCCAATTGGGCCAAGCCTTTCTCAACAAATGAGCGTCGTGGCCCTATCAATAAAAATAAATAAAGCATGCAACAATGCTACTAAATGACTTCAAATCTTCAATAATGAAAAATAATAGCTTTATTTTTGTGGTACTAAAGTATTAGTTCCATAGCTCCATTCCATTTCGTTTACAGGAAAATTCAAAAGTTACTTTTATGTGCACTCTAAATGAAATTTGCTTTGTTTTTCGAGGCAGTAAATAACCATAGCTTCATTCCCATAAATGAGTATATCATGGATCATGCTAGAGATCATTATAATTACCCTTTTTTATTTGTGATTTTCGTACACGTATTTTTTTTATTGGATGCGTCGATAACGGCTAATAAGAAGTGATAATTGCAAGAATTTAGAAGCATTTTATATATATATAACATTTTAAACAATAGAAGATATTATATTACAATTTTTAATGTACAACTAACACAATTTAATTATAACAACCTTAAATAAATATAAATGAACGACCTCTGGCCTGAACTAATTAAGGATACAAGCTAAGCCTTGTGATATATGTTCGACGACTCTGGTATTTGGAATCCACCGCTTATTATCTCTGCAATTTTGGCCCTGCCGTATTGGGCAAATTTATTGTGTACATTTTAATATATTAAAAATATATTATTTGTGTATTAAATGTACATTATATAAAATAATATACTTTCAATACTCAAATAATGTATTTTTCTTGAATATAATGTACATTTTTAATATATTAAAAATATATTATTTATGTACTGAATATACATTATTTGATATTATGATCTATACAGATGTGTGGACCATAGTCAATCATTATTGTGTGGACCATCTTTTGTATACTGTAAAATAATGTACATTCAGTACAAAAATAATGTATATTGTAATCAGGAGATGTACATTATTTTTGTACTGAGTGTACATTATATTGTATAATGTACATTCAGTACAAAAAATAATGTACATTTAGTATATTAAAAATGTACTTTTTGTTATGGTCCACATAACACTGGTCCACACAATAATTTACCATAATGATTGGCCGTATTGTTGTTTGTGCAATCATTATTTCATGGACCATGATCTACACAATTGTGTGAATCATATTTTTAAATATACTAAAAATACATTACTTGTATACATAAAATATATTATTTAAAAGTATATGAGTTTTTATATATTATCAAATAATATACTTTTAGTATATTAAAAATGTATATTGCATGATTCACACAATAATTTATTCTGTTTGTGCTCAACTCACGCATCGATTAAGGTTGGGTATTCCTATCTTAGGCATGGATGGAGTGCTGCATGAAATGGGTCACACTCCAATTTTATTGTATTCATATTAATATTTTAAAAATAATTAATTTAATTACCGCTAACACCTTTTGAACACTTAACTTTAATGAAAATGACGTCACATTACTCCATCTATCTCACTACGACACTACATGTCCAACTTAATAAACTAACATAATGAAATTAATGTCAATCCTTAATAGGATGGTATTGACTCTTTGTACTTCACTATTTTAAGACCGTAATTATGAACAGATGTAACATAATCAATAGTACTAAAAAAAATAAACATAATGAAATTAATGTTATTATTTTATTTGAATAAACTAAGTCACACTTATTTTAAAACAAAGTTTAAAATGCTAATTGTTAAAAAAAATTAAATATATATCAAAATAAAATAAAATGTTTACATGGATCAAAAAATTTCATCAAAATATTTTCATTACCAATAATCTTTGTATAAATTTTAATGATGTTAACATGTGTATTTTAAAAACTTAGACTCCCCAATATTTATTTTGTAATAACCTATGAGGTTAATTTTGGTATAGATCAGACAAAAATTGGGACTTATAATGTTGAACTAGGAGTGACCTCTAGATCTTCTATTACTCACAAAATTCCAGCAACAAACCCTGAGCAGGAAGAGGCAATGACAGGGGCAGAAGATCTAAGCCCGGTTGGAATTGATGGTGAGTCCATAGGGAGTGATTTGTTTATGGCAAATTATGTTGTGGAACAAGATGGACACGGTTTCAAAAATGTTCATAATTATGAATATATAGTTCAAAAATTATGAACATATAGTTCTATAATTATGAACATATAGTTCTGTAATTATAAATATAGAGATTTAATAATTGTAATTATGAATATATAGCTTTATAATTATGAACATATAGTTCAGTAATTATAAATATAGAGTTCTGTAATTGTGAATATAGAGTTCAATAATTATGAATATGAAGTTCAAAAATTATAAATATATATCTTTATAATTATGAACATAGAACCGTGTCTACCTTGCAAGGTGAACACAGTTCTACAGCATAACAATTGATTTGTTGACTACCATCAATAGTACTGTTGGCAGACAAACCTATACCAACCATTGACAGCGGATGTTCGACACATATGACCGAAGAGAAGTCAAATATGGTCAACGTATGAGAAGTTAATGGTCCGAAGGTTGTGTTTGGAGAGAATTAGCTAGAAAAATGACCAAATTACCAAAGGTGTTGGTGAAAATTAAAGAAATGGGCTAACAATCAATTATATTTCTTTGTTGAGAGACTCAAGTTTAACCTCTTTAGTACTAGTCAATTTTATGATAAGGGACACAATGTCAAATTTACATGGAGGACATATTTTGTGAAGGATGATCGAAGTCTCAAAGGAAGTCGTACTCATTGCTTTCAAGAGGATGAAGGGTTTGTCAAGAGGCTGAGTCATCTCAATTTCAAGGAAATGAACAAGTTAACAAGCAAACAATTAGTAGAAAGGCTACCAAATGTTGTGTACAACAAGGATCACGTTTGCGATGCATGTCAAAAGGGAAAGCAAATCAAATCTTTATTCAAATCAAAGTCCCGTATAGTCTTCTACAAGGCCATTAAACTTGTTTCATATGAACCTTTTTGAACCAGTTGATTCGATCAGGTTATGTGGAAGAAAGTATACTTTAGTAGTGCGTAGTAGATGACTACACTACATATACATGGATAGTCTTTATGAAGAAAAAGAATGAGAGGGAGAAAAGATTGATCAAGCTCATGAAGCTAAAACAAAAATGAGCTAAGCTTGAGCAATAGTCAAAATTGGATCTGAACGTGATCAAGAGTTTCTCAACTATGTCATCAAGGAGTTTTGCAATGATCATGGTATTTTTCATCAACTTTCCACCACTAGGACACCTGAAAGGGGTGTCGCTAAAAGGAGAAACCACAGTCTTAAGCAAATCATTTTACCTAAGAAATTTTGGGCTAATGCAGTTGACACAACGTATTGCACCAAAAATAGGCTAATGTAAGCTACTTCCATATTTTTGGTAACAAGTGTTGTGTGCACAACAATAACAAGGCGCATCTTTGTGCTTTTGATGAATGTACAAATGAAGGTATATTTCTTGGTTATTCATCAACAAGCAAGGATTTTTGCATGCTTGTGAAAACTGTTGGTGCTACTTGGATAACTGCTTAATTGATTAGATGAACGTACAATTTTTTAAAATACTTGATGTTTGTGCTTAGGACAAATGTTATGGTGATGTTATCTAGTCGTTGAATTAATTTGTTGCATAAAACACTTCTTTAGACTGTCTTTGAAATTTTAGTGATGCCTTGGAAATCTATCACTCACATTATAGGTTAAATGGACTTGGTTTTTCTTTTTCCGAGTAAAAGGCCAAAGCTTTGGACCAAGTTGATACGAAAGAAAGGAATGAAGAAAGAAATGACTTGGACCAAAAGAAGCCCAACCAAGTGATCCGGCCCACAAACGAAGTGAATGGCCAAAAACACAATAGTTATTGTGTGAATCGTGTGGACCACGAACCAAAACGACGTCATTTTGTACATTATTCTAACACATAATGTACATTATCTTATTTTAGAAATTTCATTATTCTAACTTATAATATACATTATTCTAACACATAATGTACATTATCTTACCCCAGAAATTTTATTATTCACATATAATGTACATTATTCTAACTCATAAAATTCAACGACGTTGTTTTGGACTATGGTCCACACAATAATTTGCTGCCAAACCAAACCCAAAACAAAATAGAAGTTGATGGGCCAAACATTGCATACATTAAGGGGAGCCTGAAATTATAAGGAAAAGAACAAATTTGGGTTTTGCAAAATATTTGCTAAAGGGGAAGATTGTTGGCTCAGTATTGTCGAAATTATTGAACAAAACCACATCAAGATATTAGAAGTCTCAATCCAATCAAAAGTCAAAACTAGGAATGCAAAATCAAGTTGAACAAGGAGAAGGTCAAAAGCAAAACACAAATAGGACAAGGAACACAAAATCTAGAAAGATTATTAAGAGCATAGGAGAATTTAGGGATGCACAACTTTTAATAAATATCAAGCATACATGGAAGAGAGATAAAAAAGAAAGAGAAAATTGGGATGTCTCTGTAAGACCGGTTATTAGCAGAAAGGTGGGACCCAACTAAAAAAGAAACCAAACATGAGAGCCACACCTGGCTGTCACGAGTGCACCCAGCGGGCGCGTCAGGTGCGCCGACCATTACTATCATATTATTATTTTTTATCTTTTTTTTTCTCTCTCCCTTTCATATTCTTTTTCCTAATCACACATACAAAAATTTCTTAAAAACTCCACCAGAGTTGCTCTAAGAATAAGGATCTAAAAACTCTATAAGATCGACATCTCTTTATTAAATCCAAAAGCTCTTGCAAATTAAATTATGAATGATAATGGAATGGACATTATATTCTTAGACAATATAATGTGAATTACTCAACTACACATATACTAGCCCTTGCAAATATTGTATGAAATTGTCCACATAATCACTCATGAACCCAGGCCTTGTTAAAATTTCCTTCCACTTTCTGTGATTCTCTCTCACCAAGCAACCGATCTGGTTATCTCTATCCATCACTGATTTCACCGCCTTGCAAATACTTTCCTTTGAAAACCACCCATCTTCATCCCTCTCCACCTCCACAGCAACTCTCAGTTCATCCGCCATGAGCCTTGTGTTCAAGCTTTGATCAAGAATGTTGGGCACAAACACCAACTGGCAATCACTCATCAAAGACTCCCACATTGATCCATACCCACAGTGATTCACAAAGCAGCCGATGGATCTGTGGGCTAAAATCAGGTTTTGTGGCACCCAACACCCATAAACCATTCCTCTGTCTTGGACCCTTTCTTGAAACCCCTCCGGCATGGCTTCCTCGACGCTGGTTGTCCCCTTGGGCGGCTTGAGGGCGACGAGGAATGGTAGGTTTGTTTGTTCCAGGCCTAAGAGGAGCTGTTGAAACTGGGGTTTCTCGAGGACCCATTCGCTCCCAAATGCGCAGAAAACTACGGAGCCTGCCTCGAAATTTGCAAGCCAAATGGAGATTTTATCTTCCAGGGATTCTTCTTCCCTGGGCTCCGGCAAGACGGCGCCGGTGCATAAGACGGGTTTTGCATATTGAGTTGCGAGGTAGTCGCAGTAAATCCCTTCTGTTTCCTTGACGGTTCTCACGGCTAAGAGATCGCAGTTTCTTATCCCCACATCGCTGCGCCGGAAAAACTTTCTCAGTTCATCGGCGTGCGCGTTGGCGAACAGCGCCGCCTTGCGCGCTTCGTGTTCCCGGAGTGTCACATTTGAAGAAGGGTACCCCGGCGGCGGCGCCAATATGTCCGCCGCCGTTAACGGCCGTCCTTTACTCGTCGACATGACCATTTTCAGGGCGGATGTGGTGGCGCTCATGACTTTGAAATAAACCGTCTTGAACCCGATCTCCGGTGCTAAATCCGGGACCCAATAAGCGAAGTCGAAGAAGACGAAATCCGGCTTAACCCCCTCGAGTATGGCCCTAACTTGGTCCTTAGTCCCGTCCATGGCCGACGAGAGGACAAAAGAATCCTTGGCGTCCGCCGTGGTCTCCGCCCCCGGAGCCAGGCCGGGGACGTGCGGGAGCGAGAGAGCGTGGAAGGTTATGAGATGAGAGCGAGGATTGTTGGTGGCGAGTTTGGAGATGACATTTTTTGGGAGCAAGAAGGAAATGGTGTGGCCTCTTTTGGCGAATTCATTAGCAAGGTGAAGGAAGGGGATCATATGGCCATAGGCAAACCATGGGAACATGGCGATTTGGAGCTTTGAATTATTGGGCATCTTGATTGAGTGTATGTTTAGATGCTCATCCACTGCGCACTAAATTAAATTGATGAAGTTAAACACATTGATATATATAGGCTCCGAGGATTGAAGTCTTGCATATTGCTGGAACGTTAGGCTGGGTGGACACGGTTCCAGATTCATAATTTCTATATTTTAGATTAATAATTTTTAAATTGTAGATTCATAATTTTTATACTGCAGATTCATAATTTCTAAACTGTATAGTTATCAAATTATGAACATATAGTTCTGTGATTTGTGAATACAGAGTTCAACAATTGGGAATATAAAAATTTATGAACATATAGTTCTATAATTATGAATATATATTTATAAAATTATGAACATATAGTTTTATCACATGTTCACAAACTTAATACTATAGATTCATAATTTCTATACTGCAGATTCATAATTTCTATACTGTAGATTTGTATACGAAACAATGCGATTGCGATGAGAAAAACGCCGTTAACGACAAGTGAAAAATAATTTTTTTTAATTAAAAAAATTATGAATCTACAGCATAAAAATTATGAATCTGGAATAGTGCCTACCTTGCAAGGTGGACATATTTCCACAACATAATTTGCCCATATTGCTTTACCCAATATATTTGAAGGATCGGATCTGCGGATGTGATGTACTATGATATTATATTATATTTGTGTAAGGCTTGAGCTATATTGTATTATTGAGGTCTTGCATATCATATTATATATGCGTAAAATATTATATGTGTAAGGTGTGTCCTGTGATATTATATATGTGTAAGGTGTGTACGTGCCATTTTATTATATATGTGTAAGCTATGCATTAGTTATTATTTTCTATTTTTTTATTAAATAATTAGAAACTTGGTTGATGTGACATTTAATATTTAGACCAATATAAAATGATACTATACGCTGACCAAAAGAAAAAAAAAAAATCATGCAATTATGTTATATGTTGGCCTGGTCATGATAAAATTTATATTATCTTGAATAAGTTTACTATTTTGAATGAGGACAATGTTATATGCATGAAATTAAATTTTTACTAACTGTTTTAAAATATGTGACTTATTTGGCTAAACGATATAGTAACAAAATTTGGTGTAAATAGCAATTTTCTTCCAATTATTATACGCGCTATGATTCATCAGTACAGTAATACAGTTACAAGAACGTAATGTCTATTATTTTGTTAATTATTCCTAGATCCTCTGGCCTCAACATAACAACCAGCGTTGTCTATATAGGTATCGAATCAAATAAAAAGAGACATTTCGGTAAAAATGGTCGGAGTGAGAGCTTACTCCTTAATCTGGTCAAGATCAACGTCTATGAATGAAGGGAAATTTTTATTAAAAAAACATTGTGATATTTTGATAATTTCTCTAACTTTGAAGTGCATATAACTTTTATTAGTTTATACAAGTTAAGTGCATAAGTATATATATACTCATGGGCGGACCCAGTGTGGGGCAGCTGCTCCCACTCCTCTCACCCCACCCATTTATATATATGTATGTATATGTATACATATATAGCATAGAATATTATATAAAATCTATATTTATGTTGAAAATATCAATAGTTTGAGCAGCTTAGTTACTTGAACTTCAAATTTTATGTTATACAAGGCTTATGTCATGGGTTCAAATTCCATTTCTTCACAAGATAAATTAAATATTTTTTTATTCTACTTTTTATGAATCATTTAATTAACAAATTAAATGCTTTTTTAGTCTAGTTTTTATAAATCATTTAATTAATGTAGTATGCAAGTTTATAATATACTTTATTGTATTCGAATTAATTTAGAAAAATCAAGCTAACTCTAAGAAATTAAAATTTAAAAGTATTTATGAATATATTGTTATTCAAATTATTTTATCTAATTGATTATGTTGGTTTTAGGGTTTTTGGGCCCTCGGAGGTCCAACACAACCGTGGTTGGTGGATTCACCGTTCACAATGCGGCTTATAGAAAAATAAGTAGAAAAAATATAACTCAATGCTTTTGTACGTGGAAACCGAAAGGTGAAAACCACGGGCCTTTTTGGCCGGTGCCAAGCCTAAATTCACTATGTATTTTGGAGGTGTCTTTGTACATATTGTAGAGCTATTTTGTGTATGTGATGTTGTGTAAAGATAGAGCTACTATACTTTGTACATTGAGAGGGAGTCTTCTTCATGCGTGGAAGAGTGATAGAGTCTTCTCATATGGAGTCTTCTTGCTTAGATGAGTGGTTGTGGGGGAGTGACATGCCTTTCTAGGAGGAAAGAATAGCAAGTGATCTTCTAGTGTGTAGGAATAGTGCTTGGGAGAGTCCTCCCATGTGTGGATGAATGAATGGATCCCTTTCTTCTTGTCTTCCCCTCCTTTTTATAGCTAGTCAAGGTTCAAGATTATAGCCGTTGGGGCATTTAGTAGGGGATTATGGGTGGTTTTAAGTGGGTAGTAAGTGGAAGTTTATGTGGGGGTTATGGATAATAATAATAATTGGGTAATAAGTGGGTGGTTATGAATGGTGGGGGTAATAATTAGGAGTTTAATATGGGCTAACGGCTACTTTAGGCCGACCTTCTACCCATGTCATCCCACACTTGCGCCGATCTCCGGGTCGAGCCGACCCCTCGATTTGGCCCGTATCTATTTTTGGGCCTCTCTTCTTCTGGGCTTGATCCCTTTTCTTCTTGGGCCCCGAGCCCACGGGGTTCACACCCCATCAGATTATGTTTCATATTTTCTCATAAATATATTATAATTTATAATGTATTTTGTACTTTAACCTTATTATGGTTGTTTGATATTTTGTCATTGACATTTCTAACGTCATTTAATATTCGTCCCCATTCAGATAATTTTCTGGATCCGCCACTGTATATACTACTAGTGTATAACGTTATGCACTTGTAGTATAAAACTTTAATTTTGTATTTTGTAATTGACGAAAATATTAGAAATGGCCCAAGAATAACCCGGGGGTCTAGGAGTCCAAAGCCCGAGGCCCAAGAAGAAGACTCGGCGGCCTGATAAGATGATGAAGCTCCCGGATGAAGTATGGCAAATTATGCTGTGCATCCGTATGCACCATGCATGGTGCATACGGATGCAAAAACGACGTCGTTTTAATAAAACGCGCGTCTCCCCTTTTAAAAAATCAGGTTCGATTCCCAGCAACAACATATGAAGTAAAATTCCATAATCGATGAACTATAATTCCATAATCGATGAACTATAATTCCATAATCTAATCTATGAACTAAAAATTCCAGAATGAATGAACTAAAATTCCATAATCTATAAACTAAAATTTCAGAATCGATGAACTACAATTCCATAATCGATGAACTATAATTCCATAATCAATGAACTATAATTCCATAATCTATGAACTAAAATTCCAGAATGAATAAACAATATAATGTTGTTGTTGAGAATCGAACCTGAATTTTTCTTAAAGGGAAGACGCGCGTTTTTTAATAAAACGACGTCGTTTTGGCATCCGTATGCACCATCATAACGATTGATGAAGTATATGTTATAGGGACATAAAGATAGAAGAGAGCATTGCATGTACTCACTCATACACTCAGTATATGTATATAATATCGGACTACTGAGGACGTAAGTGGTTTTGGATCTGATCGAAGACAAGAAAATCGAGAAGAAATGGAGGAGAAGACATGGGACTCGGCGGCGGCGACCGGAAGCGGTTTCGACTTGGCTATCGTGATCGCGACGGGCGTTACGGTTGCAGCCGGCGTTTGGTTGGTGGTTCCGCGGAGGAAGGCGACGAAAAAACCGGATAACGATGACTGCAGAGTTCCGAGAGGGAGCTCCGGCCGGCCGCTTTTAGGGGAAACGCTCGACTTCATCGCCAGCGGCAGCAGTTACACCACCCGCCCCGTCTCCTTCCCGGAGAAACGCAAGTCTCTGTGAGTAAACGCCCGTTCCTTTTCTCTCTCTCCATTTCTCCTTAATTTTCTTAATTTCTTTTTATAAAAAAAAAAAACACAAGTTTATCAAATTCTCCTTGAAATTTCACTCCTTAATCCTTGATTGACTTTTATTCCCATTTTAAAAATATTTTTTAATTTATATATTAAAAATATTATAATTATTATTAAATTAAAAATATTATAGTTATTTGACAGAGATGCTACGGTGAAGATGAAGAGAGAGCTTTGATGGTCAACATTGAAAGGGAAAAGATGAAAGTAAAGTCTGACTCACACGCTGGCCAGTGGCCAGCTTATTATACATCATATAACGGTTATAACCGTTGGAGAAAAGAAACGTCACTAGTTTTCTTATTTCTATATAGACCGCTTTATTACCCTCCCGTAAGTTGGCGCGTGTAAGTCTTGAACGCCCAACTTAGATACAAAAGCACGAAAGGGAGAAATAGCCAGAGGCTTCGTGAATCCGTCTGCGGTTTGATTCTCAGAAGAAACGGGAAGCAGCTTGATAAGGCCTTGGGATACCCTTTCACGAACGATATGGCAGTCGATTTCGATGTGTTTAGTTCGTTCGTGAAACACATGGTTTTCGGCTATAGCTACCGCGGACTTGCTATCACAAAACAGAGTAGCAGGCTTAGGCAGCTGTACGTGCAGATCTTTTAGCAAGAAGTGAAGCCATTGTATTTCGCAAACGGTAGTGGCTAATGCTCGATACTCTGCCTCTGCCGAGGACTTTGATACGGTAGCCTGTTTCTTCGACTTCCAGGAAACCAGAGCGTTGCCAAGGAAAACGCAGTAGCCGGTAATAGATCGACGGGATTCCATGCAAGAGGCCCAATCGGAATCTGAAAATGAATTCAATTGTATGGAGTTATCTGCCGGATAGAAAATACCTTGGCCAGGTGCATCTTTGATGTAACGTAGCACCCGATGAGCAGCCACAAGGTGATTTTCAGTAGGAGCATCAATGAATTGTGTTAATTGTTGCACTGCATAACTAATATCGGGGCGTGTAGCCGTAAGATAGAGGAGCCTTCCCACTAAACGTCTATAAGAACCAACGTCTTGCAAGGCAACCCCATCACCATGCATCAAGTGATGGCCTGGAACAATTGGAGTGCTGGCAGCTTTGCAATCGGTAAATCCGGCTTCGTTCAGAATATCCAGAGCATACTTGCGCTGGCACAGATTCAACCCAGACTTGGACATTTTGGCCTCAATGCCTAGAAAGAAACCCAAGCTGCCTAAGTCCTTTATTTTGAAAGCATCATCCAGATAAGTTTTCAGCTCTTGAATGAGAGTAAGATCACCACTGGTGACCAATATATCATCCACATATATTAGGAGGGCAATAAAAGATTAATCACAACCTTTAGTGAAAAGTGAGGGATCCGATTTCGCTTGTTCAAAACCAATACGAGACAAGGCAGTGGTGAGTTTTGCGTTCCACTGTCGGCTGGCCTGCTTCAAACCATACAAGGAACGCAACAAACGGCAAACTTGATTCGGCTGAGTGGACTGAAATCCGGGAGGTAAGAGCATGTAAACCTCTTCATGTAAATTGCCATGTAAGAAGGCGTTGTTTATATCCAATTGATGTATAAACCAAGAGTTTGCAGTGGCTAGTGCTAAAAAGGAACGAACAGTGGTAAGCCGAGCAACTGGTGAGAATGTCTCGATATAGTCTATGCCAAGTTGTTGATTGTAACCTTTAGCTACCAATCTAGCTTTGTGCCATTCCACTGTTCCATCTGCTTTGATCTTTATTTTATAGACCCATTTACATCCAATGGGAATTTTTCCAGGAGGCAGAGTAGTCAATTCCCATGTGCCATTCTCTTGAAGAGCCTTAATCTCTGCATTCATAGCTTCCTTCCAACAGTCTGATTTGATCGCTTGATTATAGGTTCGGGGTTCACTGGCAGTGGTGACGGCCATAGAGAATGCTCTGTGAGTGTGATCGAGATGATCAATTGAAACTACCTTCGATATTGAGTGAGGGGATGTACCAAGTTTCATGACAGTGTCACAGTAAAAATTCTGCAAATGGCTAGGAGCATAGCGAATTCTGCTAGAACGTCTGAGGCCTTGTTGAGTGTTCTGAGGGCTGGAAATTGGAGGCTCTTCTGGTTGATTAATGTGAGAACCAGAATCTCCTTGTATGTTATTTGACTGCTCTTCTTCATCATGCAACTCCAAAGGAGAACCATAATCCCCTCCCATAGTATTTGACTGTTGTAATGCAGTATGCATCCCCAAAGGAGAATCAGAAAGTCCTTCTTTATTGCTTGAAATCGGATCATCAGCCACTGGCCTCAATCCAGGCTGCTCATATGTGAAGATGGGGATGTTGGGTAAAGAAGGAGTGAATGTAGCTATACACTGCATATCTTGAGAATTCTGCTTAGCATAAGGAAACTGATCTTCATAAAATTTTACATCTCGGGATATGAACACAGATCCTTGTTGAATGTCATATACCATGTAGCCCTTCATATTGGCTGGCATACCAAGAAATATGCATTTCCTTCCACGTGGAGCCAACTTATGTCTGCCATGAGCTAGAGTGGAAGCATAACAAAGACATCCGAAAACTCGAAGCAAGTCAAGGTTGGGGTCCTTGCCATACAACTTGTAGTAAGGAGTAAAACCTTGTATAATTGGTGAGGGGAGGCGATTAATTATGAAAGCTGCATGCATCACGCAATGTCCCCAGAACTCAAGAGGAAGTTGAGCCTGAAATCGTAATGCCCTGGCAACAGCAAGGATATGTTGATGTTTCCTTTCCACGACGGCATTTTGTTGTGGAGTGTCTACACACGATTTCTGATGAATAATGCCCTTGTCCATATAGAAATCTGTCATGCTGAATTCTGGACCATTATCACTGCGTAAGGATTTAATAGAGATCCCAAACTGAGTATGAACCATGTTGTAGAACCCCTTTATCAGTGACCGTGTTTCAGATTTATGCTTCATAAGATGTATCCATGTAAAACGGGAATGGTCATCCACCAAAGTCAAGAAGTAACGTTCTCCTTTCATTGAAGAGACTGTAAAGGGACCCCATATATCTGCATGCACCAAATCAAAGCAAGCATTTGTGGAGGTAATACTCAAGGGAAAGGGAGAACGTTTAAGCTTGGCAAGGTGACAAACATCACATGTTGCAATTTTATTTGAATATATAAAAATGTCTTTCAACAAGTGCAATTTATTTACTGGAAAATGGCCTAGCCTGTGATGCCATGTTTCAGTACTAACAATGGACATAGTAAGATGTTTAGGCAGAATAGCAGCTTGCACACTTGGTTCCATAAGTAAGTATAGACCTCTCTGCTGCTTAGCTATACCAATTATCCTCCCAGTATCCTCCTGAATCAAACACTTATCATATGAGAAAACCACAGTATATGCAGTGTCTTTGAGAAGCTTGCTAATTGATATTATGTTAAACTGAAAAGAGGGAATATGCATAGCATCTTTCAGCCAAAAACTGTTGCCAATCTTTATATTCCCTGTGTGTTTCACAGCCACTCGTTTTCCAGTTGGCAAGTTAACCTCTGCCCCATTAGCCTTTTTATAATCATTGAAGAAATTAAGAGAACAAACAATGTGATCGGTGGCCCCCGAATCAAGTATCCAAGTGGATTCACACAAATGAATGAAATTAATGTGAGAGGTAACATACTTGCCTTCATCTGTGGACTCAATTTCTGCAAAATTTGGGGCTAATAACACTGTTGCAGTGGTGTTAGTGGCGGAATTGTGGTTCACTTGTGACTGTGACTGTATGAATGCCATAATCTTTTGCATCTGCTCAGCTGAAACTCCCATATCTGCCACACTGCTGCCATTAGTGCTTGATGTTGCTGCTAATGTGGTTTGTTTGTTCTCAGACTTGAAGCCTGGGATCCAGCCGGGGGGATACCCGTGCTTCTTATAGCACTTCTCTATTGTGTGTCCATTCATACCACAAAAAGTGAACCTAGTTGTTCCTTTGCCACCATTGTTACCTGCATTCTTCCTGCCATTATATGAATTGAAGGCAGCCACTGTCTCATCTGGCTGTGTTTGTGAATTTTGAACAATATTCGCATGGCTTATTTCCAGATTGTTCATGTTTGATCTGTCCAGATTCAGTTGTCTCTCCAATTTTTCGGCCATCACAAACACCTTGTAAACTTCCGGCAAAGGATCCATCACAAGCACTCCCGATTTCAGGCTATTGTAATCGTCATTTAGACCTTGAAGCAGCCGTATCACCTGGTCAACTTCACGTTCTTCTCTTATTATCTTAATAACATCACAATCACACTTCGGATTGCATTTGCAGACAGGTAGAGGCCTTAGATCGTTCAATTCTTCCCAAAGTGTTCTGCATTTCGTATAGTACTCATTAATGCTCATGTTTCCCTGCTTCATAGTGTAGATCTGGCTTTGTAAGGCAGCTATGCGATGAGGATCGCGTTGAGAAAATCTCTTCCGTAAATCCTCCCATACATCCCTAGCTCTATCCATGTGCATGATGCCCTATGCAATCGATGGATGAATGGTTTTGAAGATCCACGAGCACACCATCAGATTACACCTTCTCCAGGCAGGGAACTCCGGCTGACTGTACGACGGCGTGTTGGTGGTGCCGTCGACTAACGTCCACTTGTTTTTCACTTCAAGCGCAATCCTCATGGATATACTCCATGAGCCGTAATTCGGACTTCCGATCAAAGCAGGAGAGACTAGAACGGCATTAGGATTGTCGTTGATGTTAATCGTCAAAGGATTCTCCAAGTCGTCCAACGCTTGGTTCCTCTGCGAGAATGAGCTCCTCTGCGGAGCGGTTATTGGCGTGTTGCGATCGTGAGGCTGAGCACGAGCTTGTTCCTCATTGTTTGTCTCGCTGGTGCCTGAGACGGCGGCGGCGTCATTGTTTGTCTCGCCGGTGCCTGAGACGGCGGCGGCGTAGGTCCCTGGACGGCGCTCTGATGCCATGACAGAGATGCTACGGTGAAGATGAAGAGAGAGCTTTGATGGTCAACATTGAAAGGGAAAAGATGAAAGTAAAGTCTGACTCACACGCTGGCCAGTGGCCAGCTTATTATACATCATATAACGGTTATAACCGTTGGAGAAAAGAAACGTCACTAGTTTTCTTATTTCTATATAGACCCCTTTATTATTATTATTAAATGGTATATAATTTGCCTAAAATCATTTGTTAGCTAGATGCCTAAATTATGGGTTGCTTGGTAAATAACTGTTAGTTGATTGTGTTAGTGTGTTTGACTAATTGATAACATTAACTGATTGTAAAAAGATGTTTGGTAAATTAGCTGTTAGTTATTGATAACCTTCTCTACTTGTATCATCTGTTAAGTTACGTACTACATATTGAAATTCTCTCATCTAAAATGACTTTTTTTAAAAACTCATCGAAAGTTGATTTGAGTATCTTTTTGAATTTTAGCGTTTTGGAGCAATAAGTTGTTACAAAAGTTAATTAATCAAACACTCATATTGGTTGTTTAACCAAGTCAAACAACTAATAGTGATAAAAAAAAATTCAAAATTAACTGATAAGCTAACCATGTTATCAAATAGGCTTATATAATTGGCAAATTATTCAAACCAATGCCTCGACCCAAATGCCATATTCATGCTACTATACCAACGGATGACTTGGTTTATAAGTACAACAAATTTATGTACGCAATAAAATGATTTGAACCTTTAATTCACCCGACAAATTGTTCACTACACAAAAAACACTAATCTTATTGGACCTCCTGCTTAGGCCCCATGTTGAGCATTATTGTACTCTCACATGTAACTTAAAAAAATATGAAAAAAGAAAAAAATATATAATGATGTCCAAGAAAGGACAAAAAATGCGAAGTATGTTGTGATTGAATTATAGTGTGTTAAGTTGTTGTCGTCTTCTCCATTATTTCATTTTACTTCACACGTAGGAAGGTAGGGGACCGGAGAGATCAGAGAGAACACCAACTAGGCTGATCCAGAGAGATAACCAAAAATTAAACAGGAAGATTTCTGTCGTCGTTTGCATGCATGTTTTTGCATGGCTGCTTAATTACGTAGATCAGATAGTCAAATGATATGATCCATGTTCTTCGACATCTTGGCACGTACGAAACGTATTGATGAAAAGGAGAAGAAAAATTAAAGGTGTTCTTCCTGGGGTGATGAAGAAATGATGGAAATATGCAGGTATTGATGAATCGAAATTACGAAAGGATAATCTATCTATCTATCTGTGTCGTCGTCATCGATCATCATCATGAGGAAAATACAGGCGGTGGCGAAGAAACGAGCCAACACCATATTCGGGACGGGCGGATCCGGGGGAGACGAAATGGAGGATACGGAGGATGAGGAGCAGAACCCCCCGGTGGGAGAAGTTCACGAAGCAGAGAGATTCCTCTCCAATGGCGATTACTACACGGGGTATTGGGCGGGCAACTTCCCCCACGGCCACGGCAAGTACTGGTGGACCGACGGGTGCATGTACGTGGGGGAGTGGAGCCGGGGGAAGTCGATGGGGAAGGGCTCGTTTCGATGGCCCTCGGGGGCGACCTACGAGGGAAATTTCAAGGGCGGGTTCATGGACGGGGAAGGGACGTACATCGGCCCCAACGGGGACACCTATAGAGGGAAATGGGTGATGAACGTGAAGCAGGGGCGCGGGGTTCAGGAGTTTGCCAATGGCGATTGCTATGACGGGGAATGGTTCAAGGGATTGGAGGAGGGACAAGGGATGTATACATGGAGCAATGGGACTTACTATGTTGGGGAGTGGAAAGGTGGGGCTATTTGTGGGGAAGGGAAAATGGTTTGGACAAATGGGAATGTATACCAAGGACATTGGGAAGATAGTGTCCCTAAAGGGAATGGGACATTAAGATGGGCAGATGGGAGTTACTATGTAGGGAATTGGAACAAAGACCCTAAAGAACAAAATGGGAACCATTACCCTTCAGAAACATCAGTAACTGAGTGCACACTTCTTGACTGGGATCCCCAACATGTATTCAATGTGGATTTAAAGGACTGCAAAGTTTGCCCAGCTGACAAAGTCTTGATCCTCCCTTCCCAGAAGAAACTGGCTGTCTGGAGATCTGCAAAGACTAAAGAGAAACTCTACCACGGCATTCGCCCCAAACGAATGTCTGTCGACTACGTGAGACTAGACAGGAATTTCAGCCGTTCTCAATTCTCAGATGGGAGTGGGGCTAGTAGAAGTTCTTGCGCATCCGACGATACCACCACCTCCACCTGCCACGAAGAACCCGGTTTTCCACCAAGAGGGAGCCCTATTAGGATTCCCAAGACTCTTGCAAAGAAGCAAGGAGAGGTTATCTGCAAAGGCCATAAGAATTATGAACTCATGCTCAATTTGCAGTTAGGCATCAGGTAATGATGCCCCGTTTCAATTACTACTGACTCTGTTACAATGCAGTATCTGTTCTACTGAAGCACAAAGAGTCAATACTGCCACTACTGACTCTGTTACAATGTAGTATCTGTTTTACTGAAGCACAAAGAGTCAAGCACTCGATCCTATGACCTTTCTTAATTGTATCATTATATTAATGCAGACATGCTGTTGGGAGGCCTGGTCCATCTCCATCATTAGATCTAAAAGCCTCAGCATTTGATCCAAAGGACAAATTCTGGACAAGGTTCCCACCAGAGGGATCAAAAAGCACTCCCCCTCACCAATCCTGCGAATTCAAATGGAAGGACTATTGCCCCAAAGTTTTCAGGGCATTGAGGCTGCTGTTCAATGTGGATTCAGCAGATTACATGCTGTCCATTTGTGGAAACGAGGCCCTCCGGGAGCTCTCGTCTCCCGGGAAGAGTGGTAGCTTCTTCTACCTCACGAACGACGACCGTTACATGATAAAAACAATGAAGAAGGCAGAGGTAAAGGTAAGATCTCTAGTCACATTCTTCGCGATATATATATGCCTCACACAACTCAACTTCATTCTCCAAGCTTATATTATTAGGTGCTTTTGAGGATGCTGAATCCCTATTTCAATCATGTCCGCGCATACGACAACACCCTCGTGACCAAGTACTTTGGCTTACACTGTGTCAGGCTAACAGGAACAGCACAAAAAAAGGTATACATAAATAAAATCTTAATTCATTTCACCATACCATATATATTTAAGCTTAACCATTATTCAGGTGCGCTTTATGATCATGGGGAATCTCTTCTGTACCGGGTATACAATTCACAGACGATTCGACTTGAAAGGCTCAACCTTTGGGCGCTTGACAGATAAGCCGGAATCAGAGATTGATGGAACTACAACTCTCAAAGACCTTGACCTTAACTACATATTTCGATTGCAGAAGGAATGGTTTGAAGAGTTTCGAAAGTATGTAGTGCATAAATGTCATCAAGTCCCTAACTTGTTTTTCGTCTTTGCCTCGTGAGACATTAACGTCTACCAGTTTCTTCGATCTGCAGGCAAGTAGATAGGGACTGCGAGCTGCTCGAGCAGGAACGAATAATGGACTACAGCCTTCTGGTTGGCATTCATTTTCGAGAATTGGGTAATGCTAGTGCAGACCATACAGGTTAGTACTAAGTACTAAGTACTAACCCCATTTTCTGTACAATCCAGAAACTGATGAATATATACCACTACTTCCTCACAGTTGTGGAGAATGGTGAAGGCTCAGAACCCGATTCCTCTCAAGCAGATATGGATCATTTGCCATGGTACGTTTGTTATAATGATTGAATCTGATCCGAATTTACACTGCTGGAAATTATGGAATTTCCGACCACAAATCAAGTTGAAAGCAAAAAGTGGTCGGAAATAGCGACAAAGGTTTTTCCAGATACCAAAAGTGGTCGGAACAAGGAATTTTAAGTGGTCGGAAATTCTATAATTTCCGGCAGTGTTAATCACGAGGACGATGTTTTATTTGTGATTGTTTTGTTGCAGCTCGGGGGATATGAAACTGGGAATATGCATGCCTGCAAGAGTGGAAAGAACAGAAAGGAGATATGATCCAGAGCCACAGCTAGTAGGAGAGCCAACAGGGGAGTACTATGATGTAGTGTTGTTCTTTGGGATCATAGACATTCTTCAGGACTATGACATTACCAAGAAGCTTGAGCATGCCTACAAGTCTTTCCAGCACGATTCGAATTCGATATCAGCCGTGGATCCAAAGGCATACTCGAGGCGGTTTCGCGATTATGTATTCAAAGCCTTTGGAGAGGACAGTTAGATAATGGAGATCAGATTGAATATAATGCCTGTATAGACGACGAAGACGACAAAAATAACACCCTCCCTGCTTTATATATAGGAAAGATCATCTTTGTACTTGAAGCTAAGCTGACAAGACAGAGCGGAGCTGAGCTATTAACTTTTTTTTTTTTTTTTTTTGATTGATTAACTAATTGAGCTGTGCTCCCGAGAGTTTCTTCTTCTTTCTTTCTTGATTTTCGGGTTGAATGTGGTAGGAATACACACAAATTACAAATATGGGGGGGGGGGGTGGGGGTGACAATTGTATTGTATAGAAGAAAATGTATGACAGGAACACACACAACTGTAATGTATCAGGGGAACATTGTTGTTAATTGGCATTTGGCAGCCTTTGTCTCCAAGAGGGATTAGAATTCTGCAGACCATACTATTTAACTTTTTTGTTACTAATATACTCCTCTAAGCACACTCATTTCCCTTAAACTATGATTCATTTCCGAATGAAACGCACTCAAAGCTTCAAACAAACTTCAACCACCAAAACATAGTCCAGAAACTCATCCCTGATATTCGCCCTGATTCTTGTGTCTGAATGTTGAAGATTTTTAATGAGAGCTGTCTATTAGTTTTCTTGATTTTAACTTATCAGATATGAACAATTTAGACTGACTTATCTTTTTATGATCTTGAAGAGTAGACATTCTTCCAAAAGGTTGAACCCCAACCTAAGGGATCTTGAAGAGTAGACATTTAGGTATAGGTGATGGTTATAGATTTTTCTCGCAAATGATATGGAATTGGTTTGTAAATTAGGAATAGGAGAGTAGGCAAATGTGGTCAAAGTTGGGGTCAAAATGGGGTTTTTTAGATCTAAAAATCAAAGGTTGAGTTCGAAAATTAAGAGCATCTATATTAGTAGATCTTTCACGTTTTTGAGAGTAAAATGGCTAACATAGAGGAAAGAGAGGGAAGAAAGTCCTCCTGCAAGGAAGAGGATTTTTTTTTTTCAATCGTTGTACCCTGCACCACGGCGCACACAGCACTGTGCGCCCTGCGCCTCCCAAAACGACGTCGTTTAGGTAAATTATGTAGGGAGTTGACGTGATTATGTGTATTTGTTTATACAATTATATGTATTTGTTTATACAATTATGTACATTTTTTTAATACAATTATGTACATCCGAAACAGGAAATTTATGTGTATTATGTTAAAAGTTTATGTGTATTATGTTAAAAGTTTATGTGTATTATGTATTATGTTAGATTATATGTATTATCTTTTTAAAAAAAAGTATGTGTATTTTGTTATACAATTATGTACATACAATTATGTGTATTCTAGTATAAAATTATTTACATTTTTTAACATGAGATTTTAAAAATAAAAAATAAAAAAAATAAAAAATAAAAAAAGCAAAATTTCTAAAAAATAAAAATAAAAATATGAAACGACGTCGTTTTGCATCAGGGCTCACAATGCAATGTGCGCCCTAGTGCACAATATAAATTGCCTTTTTTTTTTTGCAGAAATGTGGGACCCACTACAAAAACCAGCCAACCGATCCGCCTCGTGTGGCTGTCACAATTGCGCTCAGCGGGCGCATGCCGTCTGGGTTGCGTTACCGGCGCTGTAACAATTTTTTTTTTTTTAAATCATCTTTGTTTTATTTTTTTCTTTTCTCTCCCCTCTCATATTCTCTTTCCTAATCACATATAAAAACTCATCAAATGATGCCACTTAATCAAACAAGAAAGGAAATTGAAGAAGCAGAAGGCAACCACTAGTGCTTACCATTTACAGTAATCATTTCTTTTCCAGGCCAATAATTCAGACACAAGAGAGCTTCATTGCAGTTAATTAATTGTAATGATAGATAGGACTTACGGAGTGCATGATTTGATGTTAGCTATAAGAATTTAAACAATCATCTTATCCTCATACTTATTTTTTGATTCTTTAATTTTTTGTTCTTTAGCCAAATAATTAATTTATATATTACAAAAAAATATATATATATTATAATATAATCAATAGAACCTTTAAGTTCGTAGGTGTTATATGATCGTTTATGATTTGTGTTGAAGATCATGCATTAAATTTAGTTCTTTAAATAATTATTTCATATTTTCTACCTTACCACGCACATTTTTGTCTTTCCAAAGTTTCAGTGCACATTATCCCTTCTTCCAGAGAACATTGTTGTGTCTTACAGTGCACAGTGTTATGCCTTCAACCTTTAAACCTTACCATGCACATTTTTACATTTTCAGAGTTCCAGTGCACATTGTCCTTTCTTCCCGGGCATATTGTTGTGCCTTACAGTGCACATTGTTGTGCCTTCAACCTTTAAACATTACCATGCACATTTTTGCCTTTATAGAATTCCAGTGCACATTGTTCATTCTTACAGATAACATTGTTGTGCCTTACAGTGCACATTGTTGTGCATTCAACCTTTTAGTTGATTATTGTGATCTTTTATGATTTGTGTTGAAGATCATGTGTTAAATTTAGTCTTTTCAATAGTTGTTGCATATTTTTGTGCTTTACAGTGCACATTTTTATCTTCCAGTGCACATTGTTATGCCTTCCAGAACACATTGGTGTGGTTCATATGTGGCGATTTTTTTTAAAGATGAGTTGATCAATGACCGAGATTCAACTGCACGTTTCACTTGCGGCCTTCTTTGCACCTGAACCTAACCCCCTATATATATATATATATATATATATATATATATATATATATATATATATATATATATATATATATATATATATATATACTACTCTTAACCGTTGATCAAATCTAATTCAACGGCTCAAATTAATGAAAATTTATAATTAAAAAAAAAAAAAAAACGTCCGTCCTCAAATGCATCCATCTTCTTCATGTTTACTCCAAAATATAACAACTCCACTATTTATTATTATTATATATATTGCTATCATGTTTTTTTTTTTTTTTTGTTTTGAATTAGATCATTTTGAACATGGGAACCAAAAGTGAAAAATCCACTGTAATGTTGAATGAAAAAAAAAACTGTAAAAATGGCGCACATTAAAAGAAAAACAATTCACCTTAAGAAGGAAAATAAAGCACCTTAAGAAGGAAAACAATGCACCTTTTTGAAGGAAAACGACGCACCTAAAGCTTTAGACCGACGCACCTTAAGAAGGAAAACCACGCACGTAAAGCTTTAGGCCAACGCACCTTAAGTTTCACCTTAAGCACACAAACCACACACCTTAAGAAAGAAAACTACGCACCTTAAGAAGGAAAACCACACACCTAAAGTTTTAGGCCGACACACCTTAAGTTTCAACAACTAACACACCTTAAGCACACAAACCACGCACCCTAAGAAGGAAAACCACGCACCTAAAGCTTTAGACTGGCGCACTTAAGTTTTCAACAACTGACGCACCTTAAGCACACAACACAAAAACCATGCACGTTAAGCACGCAAAAACCACGCATCTTAAATTTGACCTAGATGCAAAAAGACCAAATTGCCACCGTTTTTTTTTATCATTGTTAATCCTGAACGTTGATTTAGGCAAGATCAATGGCTCTCTCTCACTGCACTTCCGCACCTAGGCGCACCATTCGCATTTGAACCTAATTATATATATATATATATATATATATATATATATATATATATATATATATATATATATATATATATATATATATATATATATATATATATATATATATATATATATATATAGGGAAGGGATTAGGTGCGGGAGGGGTTTCCCGTGCGGTTGGACTCACATTAAGCATTAAATTGATGCACTTTAAGTACACAATACACGCACATTAAGCACAAAAACAAAATACCTTCAGAACACAAACACACGCACCTTAAGCACAAAACTCACGCATCTTAAGCACAACCCTCACGCACCTTAAGCATAAAACTCACGCACCTTAAGCACAAAAACACACGCATCTTAAGTTTCAACAACTACTCACATTAAGCACAAACTCACGCACCTTAAGCACAAGACTCACGCACCTTAAACTAGCACAAGACTCACACACCTTAAGTACAAAACTCACGCACCTTAAGCACAAAACTCATGCACCTTAAGTTTCAACAACTACTCACATTAAGTAACCCACGCACCTTAAATACAAAACTCACGCACCTTAAGTACAAAACTCACGCACATTACTCACTGTACAACATGCACCCACACTGTAACTTAATTATATATATATATATATATATATATATATATATATATATATATATATATATATATATATATATATATATGGTTCGGTTAAGGTGAGAACCACTGCTTGGGTGTGAACCTGTGAACTCCTATGCACCGTAGCGGTCGAGATCTGAGGAGTGATGCAGTGGTGCAATAAATACAGTTGTGCAGTAGTGCAGCAATGTGGTACAGTAATGCAATGATGTATATTTACCAGGTCAAAATCATTATAAAACACAAAATTAAACAAGATCAACGGTGCACAATTGTATACATGTTCATATGTTAACAGGCGTTCTCATTTCAACCTTTGATTTGTCCTCACTACAAAGGAAAAAAAGAATGTAACCATTCATTTTTCCATACTTTAGTGTACCTTTGGAAACTCAAAGAATATTTTTTCGAAAAATAATTTCTAAGAAAATAACTTATCTGTAATTTTTTTTTTTTAATGTTTGGTTGAAATTTGGAAATAAAAAATAAAAAAATCTATGTGGTTGGAAATCATAAAACTTTCTTTTTCTTATTGGTTTAATTTTTAATTAATGAATAAAAATCTATTATAAATTTATTTCTTATAAAATATTAATTAATTTAATAATGATAACAATAATTGTAATAATACAATACTAGTTAACATTAGTACATGTATTCAACACATAATACAATACACTAATTTCACTGAAAATACATAAATAAATAAATACTAGCTAGATAAGAATAACAAAAGTACATCATCATTGAAGTGTTTACGTAGTCATGCGGAATATAAAATTTAATTAAAATAACTGTCAAATATGTAACGATATATGCAGTAGTGTTATCCCCTAAATCATCATCACCATCCATACTGGCACTTGACGCTCCTACTTCTTGCATAGCAGTGGCAAGTTGGCAACATGTACTTGTACGTACTATTTGCGCAAATGTCACCATATTTTTTTTCTCTTTTATTGCCTTAAAGCCGATAAATCTTCCTACATCGATGGCTCTGAGCAGTTCTTAGTTCTCTCATTCAGTAGTGTTTTTATTATATCCAAATCTTACATATAATGGATGGTTCAAGTGAGAACATGCTCCATGTAAAAAGTGAGAATTGGTCTGATTCCTCCATTTAAATAGATCAACGGTTGTCGGTTGAGTGTTGCTTAAAAATAATGAGAAAAAGAGTGGAATTACTTTATCAATATTGTAAAGTTGAAAGTTTGTAATAATTATAAAACTGGTCCCGTATTTTTTTAATTAAAATTTTAAACCTTTAATAAATTTTGATAGTAGCTGAGATCAGCTCTATTTTTTACGGGATGTCGCTATTCTCATTTGATCCTACCCTATACCCTATATATATATATATATATATATATATATATATATATATATATATATATATATATATATATATATATAGAGGGTATAGGGTAGATCAAATGAGAAAAATACTTTTTTTTTTAATGCATTGCACTATAACAAGGTCAACCAACATTTTCAATCAATCAAATTACATCTATATATGAGGGGAATGGTCCGATATAATATATCCTACATTAGTAGGCCATGTGTTGTACATAGTTATATTTCTCATTTTTTTTTTCCCAAAAAAAAAAATTATACTTCTCAATTTGTTAAAAAAAGTAATGCAACATACCTTTCTTTTATATCACCTACATCCTTTTCCTCTTAACTTGATATCATCTGAGTGGTTTGATTATTAATTAAATTTCTTTTTTAATTATTAGTAGGCTTAGTCAATTTATAATGAAAGTTACCTCATGAAAAAAAAAATTAAAATATGGAATAGAAAATTTAGGAATAAGAAGTATTTTCCTTCGTGAAAATGAGAGATGGGTGTAAGGTTAATCTTATCCATGCAATACTCTCTCATAATCAAAAGTGAACCCTATTTTTATTTTATCAACTTTTTAATTCTCTCAATATTTTTTCTACATTCTTACAATTTTAACTCACTTTTAAAAGTGGATCACATTTTCACAACAAGTTAAAAAATTATTCTATTTTCTCAATAAATATGATTTTCCCTTCATAATTATTCTTGATATATATATATATATATATATATATATATATATATATATATATATATATATATATATATATATATATATATATATATATATATAATATTACATTCAAATATTTAAATTAAAAATAATAATAATAATATTATTCGAATTAATTGAAATCATTAAAATTAAAAAACTACAAACAAGAATACATTGAAATCCTTCAAATTAAAGAAATTACAATTCTATTACATAAAAAGAAATATCCGACGTAAATATTTTAAGAAAAAAAAAACATAAAAAATAAAATGATATCATTATATTTTCAATTCATTTACTATTTTATTTATATTTCACCAATTTCAACTCACTTTTAACAATAATAATATAATACAAACACATTATTAATAAAATAATAATTAAAAATAAAAAATAAAAAGGGACAAAAAGCTACCATGTTATGTACAACCTTTAGTAAAGTTCTGCAAGGTTTTGTGTTTTTTTTTTTTAAATTTCTAAGATATATATATATATATATATATATATATATATATATATATATATATATATATATATATATATATATATATATATATTTTTTTTTAATGACGTAATATAAGAAGCAGGTAGTTCTTTCATGTGTAAAAGTGTGTATATGTGTAATTACATACACTTCTCTATGCAACTATGTACATTACTGTGTGCAACAGTGTGCACTTCTCTACGCAACTATGTACACTACTATGTGCAACAGTGTATATCCAATTGTGCAACAGTACACACTATTTTGTGCAATACTGTATAATTTTATGTGCAATTCTTAACGCTGCTGTGTGCAACAAGGTATACTTGTGTGTGCAACAACGCACAATTTTGTGTGCAACTTTGTACAATTATGTGAACGAGCTTATTTAGGACGGCAATGAGTCCAGAAATAGACACACCCACAAGCTTGGATGCATCACAAACCAAAAAAAAAAAAAAAAAAAAAAAAAAAAAATAATAATAATAATAATAATAATAATAATAATAATAATAATAAGAGTTAATACCCAAAATGGTCCCTCGACTATGCCATAATTACCAATTTGGTCCTCAACTACCATTCTTACCCAATTAAGTCCTCAACTATGTAACTTTTATTCAATTAAGTCCTCAACTATACAATTCTTACCCAATTTAGTCCTCTGTATTAATTTGACTGTTTGTTGACTGTCAAAAGTCGGGATAAAATTATAATTTTACAATATTTCTCCTTCCTCACCATTTAGCAGCGCCAAACCATGCAGCAATACACTCCGATCATATTTCGATCGTCAAAAAATCGTTGAAAATCAAATTCATGGGCTATCCGATGCATAACCACTACTTCGATACTAACAGGTTTAGAACTCAACCGGAGCTTATTGCTACATGGTTTGGCGCTGCTAAATGAGGAGGAAGGAGAAAACTTGTAAAATTACAACTTTATTTCCACTTTTGACAGTCAACAAACAGTCAAATTGACAAAGGACTAAATTGGGTAAAAATTGTATAGTTGAGGACTTAATTGGGTAAGAATGATAGTCGAGGACCAAATCGGTAATTACGACATAGTCGAGGGACTATTTTGGGTATTAACTCTAATAATAATTATGGTACCGATTGGTACCTTGCTTATTATACAAACTCGTAATTAAAAGTTAAGGTGTAGGGAGTAAGGACAATGTTAAATATGTACGTAGTACAAATTTAAACCTTTGATCATTCATAATTGTATGTATGCAAAATACTCCTCGAAAACTAAATGATGACCATTCAATAGTAAGATTGGCCATGACTCATATTGATAACGATTCATGATATCTATAATACCTAGAATAACATAGTGCTTTTAAATTTTGTGACCTATCTATAAAGCCTAAGCAAAATTCAATGTTGCATATGGGTCCAAACTGAAAAAGTTAGAAGAGAATTATAAAATCATCAGTGCTGTGTCCAAAAGTGAGTTCAAAGGGTGACCCCCCTTTTAACCACATGCCCACTGCACCACATCACTCAAAAAGAAGCACATGAAACCAAAGTACAAAGATGAGTTTCAACATCACAAACTTCACTGGCACACATTTCACACTTGAAGATCAGAGATTAGGTTTTATCTTCTTACACCCACATTCAATCTTCTTAAAGCCATTAAAATCTCAAGAGAAAATAAGTATATATATATGGGGGTGGCCAAGTTGATTGTGATATATATATATATATATATATATATATATATATATATATATATATATATGTATGTATATATATGAAAATTTTGTAAATAACCATAAAATTTATACCAAACTTGTATCATTCCAAATTATATCGTGTACCAGGGCGCACAATGCATTGTGCGCCCTGGCTCAAAACGACGTCGTTTTGTACCTCTTTTTTTTTTTTTTTTTTTTTTTTTGAAAATTCTGTTTCCCGTGTCTGCTGTTAACTTCTAAAAAAATCTCATGTTTTGAATGTACATAAATCCGTAACATAATACACATAATCATTTTTTGAAGGATAATACACATAATCTAACATAATACATAATACACATAAACTCTTAACATAATACACATAAACTCTTAATTCCTAAAAAAAAAAGTCTCTGTTTCGAATGTACATAATTGTATAATAGAATGTACATAATTGTATAATATAATGTACATAATTATATAATAGAATACACATAAACTCCATCGCGTCAACTCTCCACACAACTTAACAAAACGACGTCGTTTTGGACAGGGCGTGGCGCGCAATGCATTGTGCACCCTGGTGCACGATATATTAGGCAAATTATTAGTTAAGTGTGTCTATGTGGATAACATTAATAAAGTTAAACTGCTCCACAATTTAATTTTAATATTTTTATAACATATATGATTTAAACATTATTACATTTCATGTATAACTAAATATATTAGAATTGACATTTTTACACATGATTCATTTTATATATTTACAAATTAAACTAAAATTTAGATTATTAAATAACGTTTTGCTAAACACGTTGTGATATGATGACATCACTACTCTTCCTTTTTATAAGAAAGGTCGCAAGATCGGATCTCATCCCAGTTCAGGTTGACATAAATATTGAACATATAACCAATAAAAAAAGTAAAGAGAAAATAATAATAATTTAATTGATAAATAATAAATAGAATTGATAAGTATATGTGTGTATATGTATAAAATAAAGAAGCTAATAAGATCTATGGCTCTGATCTTCAGCCTTCCATTCTCATCAACCCTCAACCCCATATTGTATATTTGGAATATAAAATCCGACAAACCACAAACATGTCCACTACACTATTCCTACCTTCATCACTTCTTTCATAGGAATTCCCATTTCTCTGTATGCCAAACCACAGCCTCCACAATTCATTCACTGCTCTCACCTAAAACTCCCATTTTCCCATGTGAGTCCCCTTCTCTCTCTCTCTCTCTCATTTATATTTTCTGATCTGCTTTATATATATATATCAATGTTGCAAAAGGCGTTAGGCGCTAGGGGCGCCTAAGCAACGCCTACGCGTCACCTAGGCAGCCGAGTAATATGAGTATATCTTCTCCACTTTTTCCACTCAGGGCTATGAGTTGTTACACTGTTATAATTTCCAAAACAGTCAACAACATATGTTACATGATTAGTTTAGTATATGGTTGGAAATAGAAGAGGAGCAGCCGAGCAGGCAAAAAAAAAACTATTCGACTGAGTTAGGCGTTGACTTGGCCGAGTTAGACACCCAACTCAGTGCCTAGAGCGCCTAGTCGGCCAGCCGATTAAAAACCGCCTAGGGCTGAAATTGCCCCGAACTAGGGGCGCCTAGGACAACTTTTACAACACTGATATATATATATATATATATATATATATATATATATATATATATATATATAATGTTTGGAAAACGGTGTATCATTAACAAATATGAATACTATATATGCCAATATCTTGTAGTCTAGTAACTTAGCACCAAAATTGCACTTCATATGAGAAGTTGTGGGTTCAAGTCTCAGTAGAGGCAGTACTCACTTTTTGTATTTCAATAGATTGAGAAAGTATTTATGAACAAATAACGGAGTAGTAGCACTCAAAAAATGAATACTATATATAGTTGTTACTTAAGACAAATAACAAATAATAATTTGTGATTTGCTCGAATATACGTGCCTATTTGAACAACTAACTATTTTAATCATATTGTCACAAAACAATCTTTGTTTTAAAAAAAACTTTAAAAATAAATAAATACGACTCGATCAGATAAAAGTTTTCATAATTAAAATATAAACGAGATTTGAAGTTAATAAATTTGTGTTAATAAAAAGACATGTGGAGTGGGCATGTATATATGTTATGTCAAACTACAAAGAAACACATGTAGGGGGTTTTGTTTCATGGTATGGGCTATATACAAATTATTAAAGGGAATTAATGTTGTTGCCTTGGAATCTCAAGACCGATTGTATATCCCAACATCACTGTATATATATATTCCCATTTGCTTGATTATGTTGTGTCCTTTATTAAGAGACAAAATAACATCAGAGTCACCACAATTATAGCCGGCAGTCAACAATTTATTAATTAATCCTTCCAGTAAGGCCCATGATTTTCTTAGTGCCAATTATTTATATATTACATTTTTTATTATTTATTTTTACTTTTTAAATAGAGGAGCATAGGGTAGGATTGATTTAGCTTGTACTGATAGTGTACGACACCTCTCAACTAAAAGTTTAAACTAATAATTGAACTGCACATTTAAGTGTATATATTATAGGTTCAACATGTTCGGACTGATTACTTCAAATTCATGATATTTTACATGATGTTGGTTTTAATACCAAATTAAAGTATATGTTCTATATCAACTAAAAGTCTAAGTTGATAATTGGACTGCATATATATTTATGTATATATATTATAGGCTCAACAATCTCATGTGCTTGTTAGATTACTGTCATCTTATTGAGTAGTGCGGTCTAGTATAGGGTAATTATATTAGTTTTAAACTTAATATATCGGCTTTGTTTGGCCATAGCTGAAAAGTTTAACAAAAATTAAAACTGAAAAATAAGTAGCTAATAAGCTAACTAATTGAAATTAAAATATTTTGTGAATTTAATAGTTAAATTAACTTATAAGTGTAAAAAGACAAAAGGATAAACTAATATATTAAGGTTTTGATTAATGAAAAGTAAATGGTGTCATTTTTTATTTTTTTTGTAAATTAATAACGATACAAAAAATAATAATAAAGTTACAAATTCACATCGTTTCAAAGTAAGCTATTATTTTAAGTCCATATTTACCAAACAGAGTTTATAGTTTATTTGTAGTTTAAAATAAGCTATAAGTGGCTAAGCTCTAAAATAAGCTTATTTGATATGATTTTATTTAATTAATATCTAATGAGGTTGATTAATTCATGAATAGAAATAAATATGAGAAATGTAACACTTGTGATTGTTGAACATAATATATAAAAATAATAAATGTAGAATTTAAATTTTTTAGTTTGGAAGAAAACATTATTTAATTTAGTATTAAAGCCAAATTCAGACTCCAAGCAAAGATTAGTTTAAACATTTTTTTGAGATGAAGCCCATCATTTAATTGTCATAAACTACATTATTTGTTCAAAAAGATTTTATACAAAAGGTATTTCTAATATATTTAATGAAATTTAAAAAAAAATGTACTATATGGTCGGATTTACACAGTATACTCAACACCAAAATTAATAATAGAAATTAATTTAGTTTGACAGTTTTCGTCACTTAGAGTGTGTTTGGAAACTCGAAAAATAATTATATTTCTGAAAAACATTTTCTGAATTTTCAGTATTTGACAAAGATTGAAAAATTAAAGTCATGAAAAATGATTTCTAATCAAAGGAAAAAATACATTTATTTTTCTAGAAAACAACTTCCCCTCTTTTTGGAGAAAAGTCATTTTTCAAACACGCAGCTTCTTCTCCTAGGCTTCTTCTTCTTCCTCTGCCATATTTTTCCTTTTTTTTTTTATAGTTTAGATTTTTTTTTTTTTACTTTCTGTAGCAGACCTCGGTCACCGAAGAAGATCTCCAACTGTGGGTATGAAAACCCACAATCAGAAACATGCAGAAATCAGAAATCTGGTTTCCGCCCTCATCTTTGGTTTTCGTCGAAAATCATATCAGTGTTAATTTTTTTTAATATAAATGTATTGTATACTTTTGCTCATTTTTTTTAAAAAAATAAACCAAATAAACAAGGACAATTTTCTAAAATACAACCAAATACGGAAAATGAAAATATTTTTTAAAAAAATGACTCACTTTTTATAAAAATAAAAATAAAAATTCCAGAAGTTATTTTGGAGGTTTCCAAACACACCCATACTTAATTTGAAAATAAATTAAGAGAGAGCAAATAAAATGCCCTTTAGAGGCAAATCAAAGATGAGATGTACAATTGTAATAATGTTGGAGTAGTAATAATTCAAAGAAAATTGAATATTTAATAGGCAAACTTCTGTTTTAGAAATTGTTGTTGTAGCATGAAAATGATTGATTTGACACGCCCAAACTAGGAATGTCATGGTGTTAGCTAGTACCGGCAAATTATATTGCTAACCATACCATGAATAAATATTTTTTCGGCAAATTATATTGCTAACCATACCATGAATAAATATTTTTTAATATATTAAATGTACGTTATTTTAAAGGTACATTTTTTTATAATATACAATATTAGTAAATAATGTATTAAAAATTATGGTCCACATTTTTACTGAATGAATCAAAGTATGAAATAAAAAATAAAATAAAAAATCTCTATATATAATATAGCAAAATCAAGGTGACAAATTTTTCCCTCCATTTGGTGCATTTGAGAGTTATGAAATATCAAGAGTTTAGGAACTTCATAATCATCATAAATCTTTATCTTTATATATATATATATATATATATATATATATATATATATATATATATATATATATATATATATATATATATATATGTGTGTGTGTGTGTGTGTGTGAAAGAGATTGTTGAGTTTATACAACACAAAGATGCAAGATAAAAAATGCGTACAAATTTATAAATTCATGTAATCATGAATTAATTTTTACGAGTATTATATATCAATTTTGATTTTATATATATATGAATTTATAAATTTGTAAATTTGTACATGAATTTATAAATTTGTACGCATTTTTTATCTTGCATCTTTGTGTTGTATAAACTCTACAATCTCTTTCATATATATATATATATATATATATATATATATATATATATATAGACACGTACTAATTTTTTAGTAGTTTGTAATTTTGATTAGTTTTTTAATAATTTATTTATAAAAAAAGTTAGGTAAAGTAAAATTAAGTAGAGAAAAAATTTTCCTGCCTAAGTGTGAATGCATATTAATAGATTTGTAAGATTATTATTTTGTGTGTGTAAATCACGAGGTGGTTCAGGTCTTTCTCTGTCCGTTTAACTTTGTAAGATCACTATTGCAAATGAGATTAGCAATATGAATGCATTTTGTCATATATTGTCTTAACATTTAAATATTACAATGTATAACTATACTTACATTATATTTTTAATAAAATTAATTCTGCTTTGTATCATAACATTACAATAATACTTATAAATTTTTGTCCGTGCATCGCATGGGGCAAATACTAGTAAGAGTATGTATAGTATTATTACTAAGTTGGAAAACGTATCTCAAAAGGCAAGCATATCTAATTCATATTCATTGATCATCAGAAACCATAAAAAGAGATATATGATAAATTAAATCAATGACGCAGAGAGAGAGAGAGAGAGAGAAATGATGAAATCACACTACATTTAATTAGATGTTGATTTTTTGTCAAATCTAATGCAAAATTCAGAATTTTAGAAGTATTTTATTTTGAGTTGATAAATTTTGAGGTAGAACTTTTACTATGCAGTCAATTAATTGATTTTTTTTTAAATACTTATGATTCTTTATGATGTAGTATCTATTAATATAATTTTTTTAAATACTTATTATTTTAATTTTTAGTTTTCCCCTTCATGTTTAATTATTATTTTGTTAATTTTAGTCTCTCAATACAAAAAATGTAAATCCCATTGTTTTTTGTTATTACCATTTTTATTTAAGAGTGGTAAGAAACTAATAATAATTATTTCTGATTAATTTTGAAGTAAATAATTAAAAGTAAAAATACTTTTATGTATAGTCAGAAGATTATTTCTGCAATTTGTATTTAGAGGCTTAAATTAGGGAATATTATGAATTATGAATTATTGATTGTTTATTTGATAATTAATTACAGCGTGTTGCCGTGTTATATATTCATTATTTTAATAAATAAACAATATGTATGTATAAATTAAAGAGTTAATTTCATTTTTTG